GTAATTTTAAGATAATTTTCTTTCTAATTTTTAGAAGGTAAAGCAAATACCCACCATTTAGAATATGTATAAATCTCACCAAGTAAATGTTTCTTAAAATCAGGAAACCTCCAGAAAGCGTGACTAGGAACCAACATATATTTTAAAGATTAAACCCTAATTTTGGTCTCTTAACATTAGTGTGGATTCTTGATTTAGTCCCTAAATTAATTAAATCTTTGTTTTGATCTATAGGGTTCTACAATTTGGGTCATTTTCAGTCCTTTAATTCATTAAATTTTAGCTTACATGTCACTTAAATTGATCACAAAATCTGATTTTTTCTTTAAATTAATGACGTGGAAATTCTAGACAAAAATTGATGATACAAATGAAACTTATTGTTTATATTGACCTTAAAAACTTGGGTTAAAACTCCTTTTTTATTCTTCTACTTTAACGAAAAACTCTTTTTTAGTTTCTCTACTTAAGAAAATCTCTTTTTGGTCTCTAAAATTTAAAACCTAGTCCCTTTTTAGTATTTTCATTATTTTTTTCTCACATGATACATTATCTTAATGGAAATCCCAAAATAGAACAACTAAAAAAGAGTGTTTTTTTTTTTTTAAGTAGATGGACAAAAAATGAATTAAATAAAGCCCATTTTTAAACCCTTTACTTTGAAATTTTTGTCATTTAACATGTAACATATGCAAAAAATATGAGAGAGACTAAAAAATGGTTGGATTTTAAATTTTAAAGACTAAAAAGTGGCTTTTTAAAGTTATTAAACTAAAAAGGAACTTTTTTGTTAATGTAGAGGGATCAAGATGGAGTTTTAACCAATAACTTATTTAATCACAAAATTGTCATTAGGTTAAACTTTAATTTTAGTCCCTAAACGTTTGTATAAGCCCCTCATTTGGTCCCTACACTCAATAAATCTACGTTTCGGGGCAAAAAAATAACTAGAATTTAAAACTTGTATGGACTAAAATAGTGATTTATTTAGTTCAGAGGTTAAATTAAGAATCTGTACAAAAGTTTGGATCAAAATTTAGGATTTAAGCTATTTTAAAATGCAATGGAAGAGAGAGATTGGTGGGTGAATATCTTTCTTAATCCAATCAAATAGGTGGATGAGTGTCTTTCTTATCCAATCAAATATGAAATGTCATGTTTAATGGTTTTGGCAATTATTTCATTTCTTTGGAAATTAGATTCGAGTGACATGCCAAACTATTGAAAGTTAATTTGGCTGCTGCTACAGGGCAGGCCGGATAAACTTTAGAGGGTAATTAGAATGTGGGGGTGCGCAAAAATTAGTTAAGGAACACCGTTATAGTAAATTAAGAAAAAAAAAACTGCGGCAGTGTGGAACTAGCTTTACAGGGAATCTAGGGGGTATTTATTATGAGCAGAAATGGTTACCTTGGTACTTCTCTTAGTGATTCAAACCTTTTTTTTTTTTTTTTGAACCACTGTGAAGCATATATTTAATTATTTAAGTAATTTAATGATGATTTTTTTATTATAAAAAAATTTTAAATTTAAATAATTTAACATATAAAGAAAATAAATTAAGAAATATAAAAGAATTTTATTTTATTATACAACTCAAAATTAAATTGAAAAAATACATAAGAGGGAATATACTTACTAATTTATAATGGGTTGGACTAACATATAATTTAATAAATTTTATTTTGTTGATAAAAAAAAAAAAGAAGCTTTGTAGATATTTATTGGATATCAATCTATTCAATCACCTTCTAAAAGTTTAGAGGTCACACAAAAGTCCATTTACACAAAATGAACCAAATAATAGGAAACTTTCGGACATATAGAGAACTTTGTTTTCAGAAGGAAACATGTAAATTAGAACCGGGACAACAAACTCAGAGCAACAAAATCAACTTGAAAATTAATTAGAACAGATACCAATTTTTTAAAATTTATAGAATGAGCACCAGAGAAAATGCAGATATCAGAAAGAAGAATCACTGAAAAACTCTAGTTAGATCACTTTGCAGGAAATTAATTTAGAACAGAAACAATATATAACACAACATTATTTAAACATTAACATTCACACAGGAAAATCATGAACAAAAGTAGTCCACAAGATAATAAGATAATTAGATATATACAAACCCCTAGGTTACATTTTCAAACTGAAAAAACTTAAAGCAAAGAGGTAGGGATACATGTAGCATGCTCCTAATGCATGTTTAGGTACATATCAAAGAGGTAGGAGAATTAAGTCTTGTGTGAGAAGAGAATCTGATTGTTGTTGGCCTCCCATGATTTGGAAAAGGCCTGGAAATCTGGTGCTTGTTGCTGCAAAGTGTAAACAATTGTATGAAAATTAGGATTGTCACAAGTTAACTCATGTTTTTGGTTTATGAATCAAAATATATGTTGTTCTTGGAACTTACCTCTTGGGGAATTCCAGAATTATGCTGACAATTGAAGATTGAATTTCGGATCATGATCACCAAGGATTCATCATCAACCATATCGTGATCATGAGAGGTTGGCACTTCAACTTCAGCTACTGCTTCCATCGGGGAAGGATTCTTGTTGTGACTCTGAGGAGTACCCATTTCCTCTCCACTTTCAAAGGATCCCCAAGAACTTAATTGATTCAGATGATCATTATTCTCCAGCATTGATTCATCCAAATTCATGCTCCATTGCAGCTTCTTTTCCTCTGTCCTTGCTTTTGCCCTTTCCCTGGCCATTTTCCTCTGGTCCCTAGTGAGAGTGCTAAAGGTACGTGGCTGTCTAGTGATCTTTTTGTCTTTGGCTGAGGGTTTCTCTTTAGAAGTGATTCCAGACACCACTTGATGCCCAGAAGTACAATTTGATGAACTCCTAACAGGGACACTACTGTAGCTACTGGGGTTCCTCCTGGAGAGGCCATGGGGAAGTAATTTTTCGATTTCAGGCTTTGCCTGAAGAAGCAACCACTCAACAGTTTTACTAGATTTATCAAATCCCAACATGTCTTGCAGACCAAAAAAGGGTTTGGCAACTTCCAGAGACAATCTCATTCTCCGGTCCCTCGGTCCATGTGCTGTGTTGATCTTGCTGTGACGATCTCTCTTGGAAGACCTCTTTCTTGGGACTTGCTTGGTGATCACATTTCCACTTTTAGCTTCAGTACTGCAATCTATCATTGACTTATCGAGCTTGCGCGAATCAGGCATGTTAATGACCGTTTCAGAGATTGAATCGTCATTACTTCTCAAGGGTTGATGAAACAAGAGGTCATCATGGTGCTGATGGAGGAAAAGATCATGATCTTCAAGTATCAATCCAAATTCATAAAGACTGTAGGGAGAGGGAAAGTGAAAGAAAGGGATAGAAAGCTCCTCCTGTTTGGAATTAGGAGTAACAATGTTGGTATTAATGTTACTTGAGGGAAACATTTTAGCTAGAGCTTGGCTTAATGATGATGAGGACAACTCTAACCCTGGACCTGGACGGACCTTGCTGCTACTGCTGCTGCTGGCGTGGAGTGGGAAAAGCACTACTAGACTTGACAAAGAGCCAAATAGTACTACTCTATTGTGCTTCTTGTGACAATTAGCTCCACCAGTTCCATTTTTTCCACTTCTGCAAGACGAAAGCAGCAAGAGATGATATGAGTGTTAAGCTAGAAGAAGAGACATGGATACAGCTAGTTAGCTTGAGAAAGACAGCCTCATTTTCTCTGTTGTTGAGGAAAGGATGCCAATGATAACAGGTGAAGTGAGGATGTATAATTGAGTGGAGATATATATTGAGGAAGGCAGGGAGGAGAATTTATTGGGGACAAGCAAAGAGCCATCTTTTCCATATCTTTTTTCAGATTCATAATCGGGGGAAGTGAGTGGCCGTGAGGGAAAGACTTGTATTGTGCCACTTCACGTGGTAGC